TGGAGAACCCTGGACAAGGTTCCGACTCCGAGCAGGGCGCAGAGAGGCTGGTTGGCCACCAGGAGGTGCCTGAGGCATGGAGCAGCGGTGAGAACCGAAGGGAATGTGGTCCTGACGTCATGCCTTGGAATAGTGACGAGGAGACAAGGGAGGTGGACCTGGATTACAAAAGATAATTGGACCCAGGTGGTTTTAATTAGTCTCCTCTCAAGATTGTATTTAAGGAGGGACTGGGAGGAGTTTGGTTTTGCAGGATTCAACTTCATTCTTAACGCTGGAAAAGCTGTTATCTGTCTCTGTCGACGTCTGAGTTGCTGCCAAGATTCTTATCTGTTTATGTTTGGGCTTTCAGCCACCAAGATTTATGTTTCCTGCTAATAAAGTGCTGTAGAATTCCAGTTAAACTTGTCTCGGCATTTGTTACTGGACGGAGGAAGGGGTCAGAACAGAAATGCATAGCATCTCTGGGCTACTGAATGATCACCAGTTTCATATTGAAAGTGAATGATGAGAATCCTGAACATAAGATGGGTCTAGGTTTGGACCTGTCTCCTTCTACCAACTGGAATGATAGATGAAATACTGCAATATGGTATGTCACCAAAAAAGATGAGTCTTTTTGAAAATAACAAATTATGTTATTAAAAGATGCTTCTTTTTACCTTGAAGAGTTAGCTGTTTGGATAACTTTGGAGTTATATCAATTCCATTCTTCAACCAACCAAGCACTGGATTCGGAATACCCTCAGCATGACATCGAAGAGTAGCTGTCACTCCTGGCTCCCTAGCTTGACTTTCAGGAAAGACTCTTATGACGGGTGGAACTGTATAAGAAAAAAAAGTATATCAAATGCAAAGATTATGAATAGAAATATTTCTTACAACAATCAATGATAAGAACCATATCCATATATTATGTCAAAGAAAAGAACAATGGAATATGATAACTAACCCTACATAGCTCTGCCAAACAATCAGATATATGATTTTTAGGTTTGTAAATAAATCTTGATTTGATTCAGATCAGAGATTCATGACTCAAGTTTTTGATTGAGAGGCAAACTTTCTTGAGCTGAATTCAGATTCGGAAAATTCATTCTTTGAATATAAATAGCTGTGTACTGCAGTTGCTTCATTTTTGGAGAGAATGTGATAAAAAAAGCAATGCATATTTATGACAGTTTCAGTTAAATACCGTATGTCTAAAAGATTCCTATCAGTATTTTTAATACATAAACCCTGTACTTGATATGGAGAGCTAGCAAAAAGGAGGGAGAAATAACACAGCAGCTCTCAAATTAGTCAGGAGGGAGCGTAACTGGTGCTCAATTGGTGTAAGAAATTTCCGACTATTACTTTACAAAATTGTTTAAAAATAAGAATTTACTCCTTCTTTTACCATTTTAAGAATAACCACTGACATAACCCCTGTGGGCCAATGTGCTTTACTGTCTCTGTTTATTGATTGTTGACCTTGGACATCTTCCATCATTAGTACAGAATTAACCATTCACCCACTTTTATGTAGTATGGAGCTTTAGAGCTCTAGTAACTGATTTTTTGGTGACACGGGAGTTAATGTATGCGGTACATAGACTATACTTTCAGCAACAACTCTATGTTGCTTAGCTAGTTAGCAGAAACAAGGAAACAGGCCAGCCCAATGAGATGGCATTGATGAGATAGCATGTAGAAAGTGGTACTTTACTTTGCCATCCCATTTTTCTCTCCAAAACTGTTATCCCTTCTTTTATATTTCATACCTGCCTCAATCATGCAGAATTTAAAAGCACGATCGTATCCTAAATTAGCCATGAGTCCATAATCTTAATGTTGACAACTGTAAACAATCAGTTTGCAGAGAGTATAGAAATATAACAAATCATTAGAATCCTGCTCAAGAAACATTGAAATTTACTATAGATAGATTTACTGCAATATAGCATTTTCTATAGATAAATACTACCACAATAATTAAAGACACCGAGGGGATTAAGGATTGAACAAATTTGGATACACTATTAACAGGTCCAAAGGTTCTAAGCATGATTAGAAAAGGTTGTAACCATAATTTTAAAACAGGAAAAAAATCAGTTTTGCAAATGAGAGGTGAGACCACAATGTAAAATGGAAGAGTTCATAATTTAAACCCAAAGCAATATTATACCTGGGAAAGAAGCAATTTTACAAACTAAAGAAACTTGAAAGGAAAAGACCTAGATAAAGAGATCTGAAATCTGTTATCAGTCTTGAAAACCAAGCCTCTAAAGAGTGAATGCAAAGAAAGACATTATATATATTATATGTATATTTGTGCTGATAAATAAATAAAGGGAGACTAGTATAGATCTATTTCAAGCTATTNGAAAAATGCTTACAATCCAATAGTATATTAGATATTAAAAATCAACTTAACCTTATTCACTCTTCAACCTTCTACTGATTTTTCAGTTATATGAGTGTCATGGCATTAATCATTTACATTGGACTTACTTGTCTGCATTTTAATCTCCTTTAGCTGAAAAATGCATTTATTTTCCTCTTAGCTTCCATTTTAGCTCAATATATAAATCTTTAAAAAAAAATCTTAAATATGCAAATTGTTTTAGAAACATACTCAACCCATTCATGAATAATAATACTATAAATTACAACCTGGTTACCTTTGTATTATTTGTCATATTTTCCCATCAACAACAATTTGGGCAGCATACAAGAAGATAAATGAGCTTGTTCCTTTGATGTAAGTAGAAGTAAGCATTCCTTTAGCATTCCTTTGGAGTGCCAGCCTCCAAAGGATTTAATGACGCTTGATTGCTTCCTGTCTTTATAAGAAATTACAGTGGTTCTGATTGTTTTGTCTAGGAAACGAATGTGTAATAACTTTATCTTCTGGGAAAGATTTTTATATTCTAATCCATGGGTCGCCAACCCTTGGTCTGTGGACTCGTTGCAGCATGATAGCCACCGGGCTGCACAAACAAGCGAAGCCCCATCCAAGAGATGCAGGCAACACAGGAAACCATGCTCCCCCCGATCCACAGAAAAAAATCACTCTGCAGAACTGGTCCCTGGCTCCCAAAAGGTTTTCTAATCTATATATCGGTCTTAACATAGAAGGGCTTTCAATGGCAATGGGTAACATTGCTCACCATATCTCCCATTTTTTCTTTAATAAAAAATAAGTTTAATGCATAAAGCATATAGTATTATTAAAAGCCCATCAGAGCCATAAACATATTGTTCATGGACTATGAAATCAGATGATTAAGTGATTATCCAAGGACGCTATTTTTCATAAATGCCTATAATCCTACAGATTTTATACTAAGAAAGAATATTGCTTACTGTGTTCAGAAGTCAAGGTACGTAGTAAATAACTGTATAATCTTCTTTCATTTTTTCAATAAGCATTAATTGTTTTAAAAATGCTACAGGTACTATTTAAATCATATTTTATGCAAATTTTAATAGAAATCATTAATGAAAACGTACTATCTGTGTCTCTTTTTTTATATTGCACTTAATAAATTCAACCTTTCATTTTAAATGTATTCTATTTAGCACCCAGTTTAATAGAAAAAATATTTTTCTTACCATTCACTTGAAGAATATGAGTCTGATAGATTTGATCATAGCCGTCTGCATAGCAGCTATAATTTCCCATGTGAGTTGTAGTAATCTTAGTAATATATAGCGACCCATCATCTCCAAAATCCTAAAGAAAAAGAAGAGGTGACCAAAATTACCCTCAGAACATTATATTATCTATACTGAATTTCTTGAAGAAAGAAATAAAGTGTAAGAGTTATAGTCTCTTATACCAGATTTAACCCACCTTTAAATATTAAGGCCTTCAAAACATTCCAGCTATACAAATCTGATTTTGTAGATATTGACTGCATTTTGCCAGATGACAATCTTGCACCATCCTTAATATTCAGATTGCCATCTGGCAAAATTCAGCCAATTTTCCTGGTGTCAATCAGACTATGATGTTCACTTTTTGAGGATCCAGACCACATAACATGGTATTAACAATAGAAAATGCATAGAAAACAAAATAATCATTGAAAGCTTCAGGAAGACCTAACAGTTTAATATTTCCATACAATGATTTAGAAGTTTATGAGCATGCAATATTGTAAATGAATCCTCTTTCATTCAGATGATAGATATACCGTGTTTCCCAGAAAATAAGACAGGGTCTTATTTTCTTTTGACCCCTGAAATAAGCGCTTGGCCTATGAAACACTATCAGAGAGGTTGCCAATCTCACTTCTAGAAATGAGGAATTCTAAAGTTCAGATGCAGCATTGAGAAGATCATTCTTTGCTCTAATCAAATATACTTAGAGTAGTTGGCAATAGAAAAGGGATTACTCTTTAGATATTAGGTTCCTTGCACTTGAGAACTTCGGAGCTTAGTGGAACTTCACAGTAAGATTGAATTAAACAAACAAACTAGTTTGAAGCAAACTAGTAGTCAATATAGCTCTTAATATATTCAATCTTTCAATCTTGTATTCTTGCAAATATAAAACAGCATACTTGCTGTTATGTTGTAAAATACTGAACTGTCTAAAGATTTTTCAAAATACTCCCCAGTACATTGAATATTAGTAATTCAACCTGAAAATAACAAAAGTATATTTCATTTTATCAGAAAAAGAGAAACTTTGCACATCAGTTTAAATAAAATTGTCCTTCTGAAATCCATTTCTACAAAATAATAAATGATAGCAAGGTGCATTATATTAAGGATTTCTGAAAGGGCAACAGAATCAATAGATATACCCTTAGGTTATAGCTTCTGGGTAGAGCAATGAAATTGTGTCTCAGGCCCAGAGTTGAAACTAGGTTGAAATTGATCTACATAATCTATTTAATTTAAAACTTCTGGACTTTAGCTGCAATCTTATGCTCAGGTGAGATGCCCAAGAAAAGAAAGAACTATCTACAGTTCCAAAAAGAGGTTAACTTTTTTTAGGTGCATCTTCCTGCACCTCATACGGGGAGAAAATCTTATGTTTTTCCCGGATTCTGACATTATCTTGATATAAATAACTGAAGTCGATTGTTGTTGTTGTTGTTGTTGTTGTTGTTGTTGTTGTTGTATCACAGCNTTAGGGGTGCAAGGGTCTTGTAACTTGATGACGTGTGTGCTTCAATGCCAGAGTTTCTGAGCCAACATTTTGGTTGCTAAGCAAGTGTTGTTAAGTAAGTTTCACCACATTTTACAAGTTGGCCACGCCCACCCAGTCACATGACTGCCAAGCCACTCCCACCTGGTCACATGACCAGCAAGCCACTCCCACCTGGTCACATGGCTGGCAAGCCACTCCTACAAAGCAGGCCACACCTATAGAAGAGGTTCTAAAAAAATTAGAAACCCACCACTGAATGACAGGTACTATGGCATAGCCAATTTTATGCTCAAAATTTCCTTCCCATCCCCATTTTGTTAAGTTTTGAATCATCACATTTTTAAATTTTCTGAGCTTCCTGTTTGGTTGCAGGCATTTCATTCCTTATTAAGAAACATCATTAATGCATTTCAAGAGTTGAGATTAAATGGTTGAATATGCTGATACTCTTACCTGACTTCACATGATTGAATGGGAAAGTCATATGGGTAGATTTTTTTTGGGGGGGGGTTGTTTGTGGGTAAATTATTTATTTGGTTAATAAGTTATAGGTTCTAACATATTTCTCTGTTGATTATTCCCTGTGTGATTATTATTGATTATTCCATGGCACTTATATTATTGTCATCATTTCCATAATTATTTTAATTTTTGCACGAAGCATAAGCTTGTACTAATATTCTGTGTATGTGTGTTTAACTATGTTTGCAATAAATCCAAATAATGTATCTGCAGAATATGTATATATAAGGGGAAAAAGCTTAAAACTTTAGCTGCTTTTTTTGTGTAAAAGTGGATCCTTTGATTAAATTGAATGTCAAAACCTTTTTTTGTGTGGTATAGTGGCAATTTTTTAAACAGCTCTAGCTAAAATATGAGTTTTCTCATATATATTTTTTTACTTAAATCAACATGTACTGTCTTTACTTACTTTGCAAGGGTATTACAAATTGAATTTCCTATTCATCTATGAAGATGTATCATGAAATTTATTAGGGACATCTTTTAAGTCCTAACATATTTAATATAATATTTATTACAGAACTTTCAGTGAAGACATGCTGAGCAACTGACATGCCCAGAGATCTCCTCCCTCTGGATTGTTGTTCTTTCAACCCAACAACAGAAGGAACCGGCTTCCTTTTGTTTATTTTACTCTCCAGGATTAGGGAGAGTCCCAGAATCATCTCTCAAAACCATCCGATAACAGAAACAATCTGGTGAACTGATGGTGGGGGGTAGGGCTGAAATCACATATTTGTTAGAACTCGTTCAAGACAACAACGAATCTGCATATAGACAGGCGGTTGAACAACTAGCCTTGTGGTGCAACCAGAAGAATCTTGAACTAAACACACTTAAAACCAGTGACGTGCGGTGAGGTTTATGGCTGGTGAGGCAAAAAGAAAGAAAGCGGCTTTTGGCCTCCCCGCCTCTATGTCGGATGCTTTTGCCCACTTTCAAGAAAGCAGCTTTCTCCCGCTTTCTAGAAAGAAAGAAAGTGCCAGCCTACCAGCAGAGGTGGGTAAAAGACCCGCCTCTCTGGCAGGCTGCCCCGACACAGAGAAAGAAAGCTGGCAGGCTGCACTCCCTGCCTCTCCTACCCCCTTCCCTCTGAGTGAATAAACAAACACATGCACACACGCACACACAGACACACACACGCACAAAAATTACTTACAATTAATTACAAATTACATTAATTTTGAATTCCTCCCCCTCCCTCCGACCCACATACCTTTTCCAGCTGTTTCACAATCACAGAGGATTTCAACTNATTGCTGAAAGTATTCGCTCACCCATCCACATAATCAGAAGCAGTTGTGAACGAATACTTTTGGCAATATAGTGTTTATAAAAGTCCCTGCTGCTTTTATTTCACTAGTCATTGCTGACCATAGGGGGCGCCTCTCTGTTTCAAGGCCTTGAGCCAGCATTGTCCAAAAACATTTACATATTTATGTGGTCAGCATAATGTCACTGAACACTGTTCAAAGTAGTACCTATTTATCTAGTCACATTTGCATGTTTCAAACTGCTAGGTTGACAGGAGCTGGAATGAGGATAGGAGCTCATCCCATCACATGGCACTCAAGTCTCAAACCTGGGCTGCTGGCTTTGCAGTTGACAAGTCCAGCGTCTTAACTGTTGACCACGGCACCACTGCAAAGCATAAGGTGAGATGGAATTGACAAGGATATGTTTAAAGTACTCTTCAGCTCAGATTTTCTTTTCAGTATGTTGACTTAGATAAATGTAGTGTCGTGAAAAAGCCACAGAAAGGTTACTTTCAAATGAATACTCTCTTAAATAGCAGAAAATATACCAAACATTTGTGTCTACAGTTTGCCATAGATACAGTATGTACATAAATATCAAATCAAACTGGTCAGTCCTAGAGGAGATAAATCCTGACTGCTCTTTAGAAGGCCAAATCCTGAAGATGAAATTCAAATACTTTGGCCACCTAATGAGAAGGAAGGACTCACTGGAGAAGAGCCTAATGCTGGGACGGATTGAAGGCAAATGAAGAAGGGGATGGCAGAGAAGGAGGTGGCTGGATGGAGTCACTGAAGCAGTTGGTGTGACCTTAAATGGAATCCAGAGGATGTTGGAGAAAGGCCTGGAAGAATGTTGTCCATGGGGTCATGATGGGTCAGACACGACTTCGCAACTAACACCAACAACAAATGTATATAAATGTATACCCATACTGCTATTTTTTTTCTGAGTAAGCTTCATGAAATGGGCAGAAAAAGAGGAAGAAGTCATTAAATTATGAGATAATCAATAAAAAGATCCTGTACTCAGTACTAGTAATTATATTTTTCATTACTCTTTTTAATTCTTGAAAATTTTACATTATTCTATCACGTGCATACTCTGATTAATCACAGGCATAATCTTATTAATGTATGTGTAGGTGTGTGTGTGTCTATGTATGCATATTCAATCTTGTTTTCTAAATTTGTTTTTCAATTCAATCTGATTCAAGAAACCAGCTCAACATTCTCTTTGGTACTAATCATTCATTACATTCATTTATCACTCAAGGTTTCATGACATCATCTCTTCTTTTTTTTCTATGCCTGATTTTTGATACACTAATTTTCAGATTTCTCTTTGTCATTCCTTGGGTATAGCCTAACTGTGGAAACATTTTGATTATCAGTGAACAACTTGGCATTATCTGCATGTAACAGTACAAATATATTTATACTCACAATACCTCTAATATCGCCACCAACATTCCTCATATATAAAATAATCAAGAGGATATCACACAGTCTTGTCTTCCTGTCTGCTCAATGTTGATGCATTTAAGAACAAATCCATTTACTCACACACAGCTACATGTTTTGTTTTTAAATATTTACCAACCAAAACATTCCATAATTTAAAAATATTCTATATTTCTTTTAAAGTAGCAAATGCAGTTTAGAAACCTTTTCTTCTTTTTCATATTCATACATTTCCTAATTTCTAAAAGCACAAAAATCTGACGTTAGTACTTACTGCATGAAATAAAGCAACTGTGCTTTTACCAAAATTTGCTCTTTTTCCATACCATT